ACTGAAAAGAGTATATTTATTCTGCAACATTTCGCTGATTGCGTCTGTGTACAAATGATTATCGATTCAATAATAAGAACTATCGATAATGAGGTGTATGAAAGAACAAACACTCACCAGTCATTAATGAAAAGTCCAGGTCCTTTTCATCATGTACAAATTGTGTATCAAATGATGCTATTTGATCCTTGAGAATCAACAGATGCTTGATCAAGAACAACTGTCCATCGATCTTACTCTAATTAAAACATCCTAAATAAGTGTTATGTTTAATCCCGCAATTTCAGGGAAACTAAGAAATTCATAGTACCTCTCTGGTTATCACTTCGCTCGCAGATAACAATGTTTGCAAACACAAATGAACGACATCTTGGGCGATATCATTAAATATCGAAGGCTGGCGGGATAAACAGAATTTTTAGAAAATATTCAAACATTTATACGCAAACGACAAGTAAAGATACAATATTAAAAGAGCAGACACACATTAACACATTGGTAAATTTTTGAAAGGATCCATAAAGTACGGTGTAGAGTGGGTAACCACTCAGGATTTCCATCACCAACATCCTCGGTAATTGTTAAAGATGAAGAATTAGATATAATGGATTCAGTATCACCATCTTGTTTAGCAGCCGGTGTCTGTGAAGGCAGTGATTCTTTAACGTCAGTAAACGCGGGAGTTTCTGTCGATTGAGTTCGAACACTTTCTGAATTTTCATAAAGATAATAATTTTTAAGACATATTCCAAAAATCAATTGTGCGCTAAACAATTTAGCGTTTAAACCAACTTTTCAACTTATTGGGGTAGTCCAAATCCGATTGTTGTGGAATAAATTTTTGAATTGAACTTTGAATGAATGTTTGCGCTCGAAAAACTAGTCTCTGCTGAGCATCTTGAAGAACATTACGTATTAATTGGCTAAAATGTAATCTCGTTCCTTCTTTTTCTGAAATTAAAAATTATTTTAGTTAAGAATTAAAGATATTTAGTAAACAATTAAAGATATTTAGTAAACATAATACCATGCTTCGAACCGTCATTTTTATCGACATCAAGATTAATATGACTTATAAGTATTAAACAAAGTTCGGACAAGGTCTCGATTTTTGTTTCGTGAATAATGCGAGGACGCAGATTGTCATACATGTAGCTGCACAATAAATCCAAATTTCCGCTGTATAATATATGATCCAGATTTCTTTTAGAATGTAAAAAATCACGTAATATCTTGAATGTTATTACTAATTTAACATACTATAGGTCGTCTTCGCCAGTTGAGAAGAACTCGTAGAACAAAGAAAATTCGTCTGAACAAAGGCTT